ATTTCAAGGAAATGGCTCATGCAGTTGTGGAGGCTGGCAAGTCCCAAATAGAGGCTTCTCCTGACTCACATGGTTGCAGGGACTGATGAACCCCAAATCTGCAAGTCAGAGAGCAGGCTGCTGGCTCATAGGACTGCAGGATCTGGCAAATCCCAAAATCTGCAGGTCAGACAGCAGGCTCCTAGCTCAGGTCCCAAGAACCGGAGGCCAGAGGATGATGAATCGGATGTAAGATCCAGAGAGGGCAGGCTTTGCTAGAACATCTACATATATTGGATGCAGGCCACATCCTTTCAATTGATGGGCTGCTCACATCAGATCCCAAAATGGTGTATGATTACATAATAACTGCCAAACCACTGAGAATCTTGGCCTAGCCAAGTTGACACATAACCTTAACCATCACGGTGTATGAAGGTTGGAATTGCTCCTCATTTAAATTGATTCCCCATCCTGATCTATATTTTATTTTCTCCCTCCTCTCCATCACCCCCTCAAATCTCCATGCATTCTGCCTTTCTCCATACGGTAAATATGTATGTCGTTATTCACTTACAGTTAAAGCTGTTTATATTTTTGTCCTTTTTATTTATTTGTATGTTTTTGATGTGTTCTACTTTTCTGTAGGTAAATCTCTCCTCCCAGATCTTTGTGTGTTATATTGCGGAGTAAGCTCCTGGGTCTAGAATAAGCTGAAGGAACACAAATTGCCAGGCTTCCTAATGGTGTTGCCCATTCTGAGCTCCAGAAGTTTGACTGCAACATTTAGTTCATCCTAGTCTTTTTGAGATGCTTCAGGAAAAGTCTTTTAAAAGATGCAACTTTTTAAAGGAAATTAAAGGAATCTAGAGGCAGCTATGTCAGACCTCTCTTGGGCTGTTGTTTTATAGCATGTCAGATTCTTTCATCTCCACTCTTTAGCTGATTACGGGTTTCTCATCTCATAAACACTCACCATTTAAGCTAAAATTTGGAGAAAATTCTAGAAATGTAATCCTAGGCAGCCTAACTCAGTTAAAGCCCTACAAGTACAGAAGGAAGTTAATTTGGATACTTACTGCTTGCTGCATTTGGAATCTTGGTACTTACATCATCATCATCATTTTCCCAGTTATTTGTAGTTATTTATATATATTGTATTACTATAGATAATCTGCTTCCAAGAATAACCATAAAATATAATAAGCTTGTTTTGTGCCATTGCGTTGATTCTGACCCGTAGCAGCCCTATAGGGTTTCCTAGGCTGTAATCTTTACAGGAGCAGATCACCACAGCGTCTCTCCCATGGAGCCACTGGTGGGTTCGAACCATCAGCCTTTCAGTTAGCAGCAGAGCACTTAACCATTGCAGTGTATATATCATGTGAAACGTGATATAAACACTAACAGCATGTGAGGCGGCATTGATTCGACAGTACACAACATGTAATAAACTAGCACCTTTTAATTCCATTTATTTCTTGAGCAGATTTGTAAAGATATATATAATTATCTATATAGTACCATTGCTTTAGGTCAGGATTCTATATCTGTGAAGCAGGTTTATGGATGAAAGTCCTTTGCACAAATTTAATTTAGAATTATCTCTGGAATTGCAAATCTCTATTGGAACCTCATTTATAACTCACTATCCTTTTGGTTTCAGTCAAATATCCTTAGATTTTATCGAAATCTGTATTGATATATGATTTCATCAAAAACAGGAATATTTATGTCTTTTTAAAAAGTAGCAGACAATTCCTCTGGAAAAAAATACAAAAAAAAAAAAGAGAGAAGGGAGGAGGGAGGGAGAGACTGGGGGTGGGAGGAAAGGGAAAGGGGAGGAAAAGAAAACACAAACATTTTCAGCAATACATAGATGTTCAAAGGTCCAAAGATTGTTAAGACATTTTTCAGTTTAGGAGAATGACATCCTTTTTAATTTTTTACTCATTACTGGTAAAACAAAGTACTGTACAAAACTGAATAAAAATATAAAAAACAATGAAACAGGGAAGAAGGACTTTTCCTTCAGACGCCTGCAATGAATAACTTAATTATTAATTAGCTTGTGGATTATTGGCTATGTTGGACCATCATCAAAAGAGCATCAGAGGAAACAATTTTCACTTTAGTAGTTACATTACTGTGTAGGCATATCTTTTTTTTAAATGCAACTTTTTTAGTTATATAAATATTCTTGTGTCATTCCTCTTGGAAGCTCTTCACACTTTATTGCCCCAGGGGTATGTTTTATGGCTGAGGCTAAATCCTGAGGAAATGGAAGTTTTATTGAAAATATTGACAGGATTTAATCCGCAACAGGAAGGGAGTGAGTAGCGCTTCTTTCATATGTAAAATTTAAAGTCTCAAGTGAAGATGTTCCAGTGGATACTGTCAGATTTTCTCTGGAATTGGCATACAAAGAAATTTCAGAAATCACAATAACTTCAAGAGGTTTATAGGAAGGGAGCGTTAAGAAAGGAAACGGAATATTACATCCAAAAGTTTAATCTTTTCCTATGGAAACTTTCCACTCCAACTTTATTAAGCAAAGGATTTGTTATTTTAGGTGCTGCTATAAGTTTTTGTACTTTCTTAGACTTGAATTTGTAAAGCCCTAAAGGAAGCATTTGATGAGGAAACAGCTGTGTCATGGAAGACGAGTCCGAGTTGCAGGAGTTACTTGGGCTAAGCTGCCGACGCACAACCTCATGGCACAATTCCTGTGTCGGGTGTGAGCCCCCCAGGTTTGGGACCCTCCTGAAAATCTGTGTTGCTAAATGTGGAAGTCAACCAGAGATTTACAAAGAAAGTTCCTATGAAAGACTAGTTGGGTTATTTATTAACACTCCCAGAGTACAGTGTCAGCCAAGACAGTACTTGAAATTAATATACTATTTGATTAGACTGATTGATTGTTTCTGCAGCTGAGCATTTTAACATTCATTAGCCATACTAATCGGTCATTAGTACTTCCTTTATCAGCAAGCAAAGAATAAACAGAAATTCTAATAAAAATTCATCACAGTGAATGTACTCCATACCTAAGCAAGTGTGATGACTGCCAGTTTACTAGATTAACTGCTGTAACATTGGTAGAGGAAAGATTTCTGTTACAAAATTTTAAAATATCCCTATTAATGTTTACTTTGTAACTGGACTCTTTTAAATTTAAGTAGGCTATTCAGATAATCTCTTACATATCCAGTACAATAAGGTGCTAATGGGTGTTTTATACTTAATGTGTTTGTGTGGTATCCTTTAAGCATTTGTTTCAGGAAGAATTGAGGGCTTTCTTAGGAAAGTTCCACTGATGTGCTTCAGGTGGAGCTTTTCTCCCCCCACCGCTGAGGAATAAAAGCATTATGGTCTATTTTTCAACCAGACTGTTAAAATAATTCTGCCCTGTAATGCAAATATGCTGACCTGTTATACTGTGTGACAATCTTTCTCTAACTACCATGTCATGAATCCCTTGTGGTTTTAAGGGCAAATTAGAAGGAATGATGAGAAAGAGAGAAGAAGAGAATGAAGGGGGAAGAAAGGGACCCTTTATGAATGGGCTGAAGGCCATTCTAGAACTATTTTACCTTAGGAATTACAGCAACTTTATACTGATTGCCTCCCTCAGCATTTCACAAGCATTAGCGCATTTAATACTCAGAATGGTCTTTGAAAGGTAGATAGTACTATCCCCATTTTGCAGGTGAGGAAACTGGGGATCAGAAAGGTTAAGCAACTTGCCCTAGGTCATACAGCTGGTAGGCAGCAAAGTCAGTACTTCAGCCAGTCTGCCAGGTTCCAAAGCTATGCTTATCTTCCTGGCCATCCTGCAGCTGTACAAACTGAGCTGCAAAATTCTGTATGTGTTTCTGTTTGTAGGTGGGCCTGGCAAGGTCTGCAGTATATGTATCACCTCTGTTGGCTCTAGCATGAATCCAGACAACTGGATAGGCAAGTGAGGATGGTGAAGGAAACTGGACAGAATCTAGGATCCCATCCAGCTACTGTGTCCTAGAATGTGGCAAGATCTACCTAAACAGGGGTAAACCAGGAAGTCCAAGGAAAGGTCAAGGGGTCCCAACTGGGCAGGCAGAGAGCAGTGTAAGGGAATCTGGGCTACTTCATCCTTGGGAATCAGGAAAGTCTTCAGATAAGTTATTATTCTGGGGCTGGAGGGGGAGGTTCCTGCCAATAAGAAATAGGGGCAAGACTGACAATAGTCAAATAAGTTAACAAGTATCAAAGGGGAATCTCTGTCATGAGAGACTGGGGAAGAGAAGGACTGAGAGAACTATTATTAAGGGACTGCTTGGAAACACTGGGCCTGGGACTCAGAGCCCAGGAGGATGACTAACACAAGGTGAGGAAGCCAGTCAAATGTTGCCCATCTTAGGTCTGATTGGGTACAGGGCTGATTTCTGAAGTGGAAGAGCCCTGCAAGGGAACGGAAAGGAAGGAGTGGGCAGTCAAGAGCTCTGGCCCATGAATGGCTCTACAAGTTGGCTACAACTCTATTCTAAGACCCCAGGCAAAAGCTGCTTCAAAAAAGGACCTAGGAATAGAAGTGAGAGGGAGTTTGCTGTGTGTGTCTGCAGAGTATTCCATTATGGACTCTGGAATTAAAACACAATCAGGGCAAATGTAGCTTAAGAGATACCACAGATTGTAGTTCTTTTTATCTTCATTTGTATGGCAATTTTATCTTTATGCAACCTAAGATTAAAAATGTAGAGGGATCAATAGGAAATGGTTAATTCTATAAATAACAATTCAATTGCAATGTTAAATTTTAATCTATGTTTTGCTTTCAGTGACAAATCCCTATTGATAGAAAAGCCTATTTCAGTAACTTTTGGGTGTTATTCCAGAGAAGAATAGAGCTCATAAATTATGCTGTCTTTCAAATTTATGCTTAGGGCAGTTTTCTTTCCTGATTCTTCCAAAAGATTTTTAATATATAAAATTTTCATGCTTGTGTTCCCTAATTCTTCCTCTTCTTTTTTTCCTCTATGCAGGAGACTTTGAATGTGATTGATCCTGGCTTGATGGACCTAAACGGGACAAGTGAGGATGCTCTGGAATGGGATGAAACTGACATAAGTAATAAATTAATTAGTTTGAATGAAGAATCAAATGACCTTGATCAAGAACACCAATCTGTCATGCCTTCCATGAACCTTGAAGAGACAGGGAGTGAGGACCCTGGTTATGAAGAGGAGGAAGGTGATCTTGGGGGATCTCACTATGCCTCAAGTATTACTGCCCCCTCCAGTCCACACATTTACCAAGTGTACAGCCTCCACAATGTAGAACTCTATGAGGACAACCACGTGCCCTTTCTGAAAAACAATCCAAAGTTCGCCAGCATGACACAGCCTAGTGTTTTAACTAAGAGTCTCAGTAAAGACTCTTCATTTTCATCTACCAAATCACTGCCAGATCTTCTAGGGGGAACCAATTTGGTGAAGCCCTGCCCATGCCATGGAGGGGACATGAGCCAGAATTCAGGCAGTGAGAGTGGAATCGTCAGTGAAGGAGACACTGAAACCACTACTAACTCTGAAATGTGCTTGCTCAATGCAGTGGATGGGTCCTCAAGTAACCCTGAAACCGAACATCTGGACCCACAAGTAGGAGATGCAGTTAACGCGGTAACTCAAAAATTTAAAGATGAGGAGGAACTTCCAAATAGCTCTCAGTCATCCATTTCACCAGTGAGTTGTGTAAATGGAAAAGTTGGAGATTTAAGCAGTGTTACCAAACATACCCCTGATTGTTTGGGAGAAGAATTACAAGGAAAACATGATGTGTTTACATTTTATGATTACTCATACCTCCAAGGCTCAAAACTCAAATTACCAATGATAATGAAACAGTCACAAAGTGAAAAAGCAAATGTGGAGGATCCTCTGCTTCATGGTTTTTATTTTGATAAAAAATCCTGCAAATCTAAATATCAGGGTACAGAGTTACAACCAGATGCACCTCCCCATGAAAGGCTTTTGGCAAGTGCGTCCCATGACATGGATCGCAATTCATATAAAAGTGGTGATGTAGAGAAGACATTCACTGGCATGCAGAATGCCAAACCACTTTCTCTTTTATCTCATAGTTCATCCATCGAGTCGCTTTCTCCAGGGGGTGACTTATTTGCATTGGGCACCTTTAAAAATGGCAGTGACAGCCTCCAGCGAAGCACTTCTTTAGAAAGTTGGTTGACATCCTATAAAAGCAATGAAGATCTTTTTAGCTGTCACAGCTCTGGGAACATAAGTGCCAGCAGTGGCTCGGTTGGTGAACTGAGCAAAAGGACATTAGATCTCCTGAATCGTTTGGAGAATATCCAGAGCCCCTCAGAGCAAAAGATAAAGCGAAGTGTTTCTGATATTACTCTCCAAAGCAGTTCCCAAAAGATGTCCTTTACTGGCCAGCTGTCATTGGACATAGCATCTTCTATCAATGAAGACTCGGCGGCATCTCTTACAGAACTTAGCAGCAGTGATGAGCTCTCTCTTTGCTCAGAGGATATCGTGTTACACAAGAACAAGATCCCGGAATCGAATGCATCTTTCAGAAAGCGCTTGACTCATTCAGTGGCTGATGAAAGCGACGTCAATGTCAGCATGATCGTTAATGTCTCTTGCACCTCTGCTTGCACTGATGATGAAGATGACAGCGATCTCCTCTCCAGCTCTACGCTCACCTTGACGGAAGAAGAGCTATGCATCAAAGATGAGGATGATGACTCCAGTATTGCAACAGATGATGAAATTTATGAAGATTGCAACTTGATGTCAGGGCTGGACTATATAAAGAATGAACTGCAGACCTGGATTAGGCCAAAGTTATCCCTGACAAGAGATAAGAGAAGGTGCACTCTGAGTGATGAAATAAAGAGCAGTAAAGATGTAAGTAGTAGCAAGATGACCAATCCCTCTGATACCCTGAACATTGAGGCCCTTCTAAATGGCTCCATGAAAAGTCTCTCTGAAAATAATGGAAATGGTAAGAATTTATCCCATACCCATGAGTTAGGGACAAAGGGTGAAAATAAGAAAAATATTTTCAAAGTTAACAAGGATCCATATGTGGCTGACATGGAGAACGGTAATATTGAGAGTACTTCAGAAAGGAAGAAGGACAAACTGGATGGTATTTCAAAGGTATCAGAAAATCTTGGTTCAGCTGGGAAAAAGATTTCAGAGAGTGAACTTTGTAAGTGTAAAGCATTTATAGGTAGCTCAGATGATACAAATACTGCTGGAAAGGAATTTGTTCCCCAAACTGTTAGACATCTTTCAAAGAAATGTCAAAACCACAATTTGGAAAATCAAAGTGTTACTTCGGTTTCCACTGAGAAGTCTTGCCCAGAACTCCCTTCAGAAACCAGAGTTATCAATAGACAAGACTCTGATGTGCTGAAATCTTCATCTGTTGATACACCAAGTATGGGTGGAAAATCTGCCGGTTGTTGCCCAGCACTTGAAGAAAATGAAACAGAGGAAAATGCTGCTATCAGCGACAACATTTCCTGTTGCAACTGTGAGCCAGATGTTTTCCATCAAAAAGATGCTGAAGACTGCTCAGTACACGACTTTGTTAAGGAAATCATTGACATGGCTTCAACAGCCCTAAAAAGTAAATCTCAACCTGAAAATGAGGCAACTACTCCTACTTCATTAACTCAAATCAAGGAGAAAGTGTTGGAACATTCTCACCGGCCCATCCAGCTGAGAAAAGGGGACTTTTATTCCTACTTATCTCTCTCATCTCATGACAGCGACTGTGGGGAGGTCACCAATTACATAGAAGAGAAGAGCCATACTCCATTGCCTCTGGACACTGCTGACTCTGGTTTAGATGACAAGGAAGACATTGAATGCTTCTTTGAGGCCTGTGTAGAGGATGACCCTGATGGAGAGGAGCCCTGTTTTGCTAGTGCTCCTCCAAGTGAACCTGCAGTTCCTGATGAAGCTGCAGTGTCACTACAAGCCAATGATGCAGATATGGTGGCTCTTTCAAGCCCTCCACCTCAGAAAGGATCTGATGTGGGAAAGGAAGTGGATGGTCCTCCCCAAACTTCTAGTGGCTGTGAAGAAACTTCAGAGTTAACAACTCCCTCAAGGCTGGGCAGTGAAAAGGAGAGCCTAGGAAACCTAGGTGGATCTGGAATGCCAGAGTACAATGCTGCTTCAGCCAAATCTATAGCTCCAGGCCTTTCCTTGAAGGCAAAGCAGCCAAAACAAAAGGCTGCATTGCATCCCAGTCCCACAACTTTAGCCTGTGAGGAAAATCTTCTAAACCTTCATGAAAAAAGACACAGAAATATGCATAGGTAGAATGTAACCTTCCCCAAGCATGAAAATCATCTCATTGAAAGGTACGTGAAATCGTGTTTTAACGACCTACACTGAAACATAATAATGCAGTCTCTAGAACCACTACTTAAACGCATTTTTCTATCAGTTATTTGCATACAAACATATGTGTGTGGGTGTGTATGTGTGTGTGCGTGTATTTAATATGAGCTTGAGTCAACAAAACCATGATAGAGGAAAAGACTAGTCGGAATGACGACAATGGCAGATATTTATCTGAATAAGACACTTAGGTGGAAGAAATACACCCCTAACATGAAAGTAACTGTGAAGCAAAAGGGGAAAAAGAAACAGTCACAACTGGCATTTTTAGTGACATCTTTATTTCATCATTCTGGCCAGAAGAATACAAAATTTGAGGAGTATCTGAACACTTTAGGGCCTCAAATTCTTCCATTGAGGGAGAAAAAAGGTTACCCAAATTGCAGTTATACCCTGTGCTCACAGCCTAAGCATAGTAACAATGCTCCACACTTCAGTTTTCTGCGCAGAAAGCTGCCCACTCCCTTCAATGCCTGGAGATGAACAGTGATTAGGTTAAAGGCGGCTTCTCCTGATTTGAGCCTTCCTTTTATGCTTCTGTCTAATGTAACTATCATCACATTTGCTTTCCCCAGTGGAAGGCTGGGCTGTCACAGTTCCTAATCATGGCCAAGTCTGAGGATTCAAACAGGAGGGGAAAGTTGATGTTAAAGAAGAGGCTCTTATTTATCCACACAGAGATTGAGAACAGGCTCAGAAAGCAAATGCAGAGAGAATACATGACAAGTTAATGGCATTTTGATAAAAACAGAATTTTTGAATTTTGCCTGAAGGTGACAGGCTTATTGCCATCAATTTTTTTTAAGAAAGTCATTCCTCTCTTCACATTTAATAAGACAGCTATTGATTGATAATTCTGAGATGATCATGTATCTGTAGAAGTGACACAAAGATTCCGTTATTTCCCATTTTGAAGTCCCAGTGATGAATATGCTTTCTCAATCAAGTTTAAAGAAGGAAATTTGAGCTTTCCAACGTGAGAGGTGTATTTCACCAAAGTATGAGATACCTAATGCCATCTCCACCACCCCCACCCCAGAAGCTTAATGCCGTAACCTAAACTCGTGCTATAGGAAATGAATTACAGAAGCAATCTACCCTAATTTGTTAACTTATTCAAATAACAGTTATTATACTTAACTATGCTAAAGATTATCTTTTTTGTGGCAGATTGTTTATTTTTTGATGAGCCTAATTACTGATTTTCTAAAAGTAATTTACATTTATTACAAATACATCTTTTAAAATGTGACAGATAAATGTTGTTCCCATAATGTATTATGAAAAAAGTTACTATTTAAAAACACATTATTTAATTTGAAAGATGAATGGCAAACATCATTATTTTTTTTCCTGCAACACCTGTGCCCTCAGCTCATTAAAATGTGTGATTCTGTGTAGAGCTGCTAGAAATGGGGAGCGAGGGGGGAATCTATACCATATATATACCCTAAAAATAAACTCAGTATGCAAAACTGAGGAAAGGCATCCTCCTTACTAATGTAGCTCAACTAATTTTATATGTTTCAGACTCTCTTTACAATTGGCTGCAAGTGAGAAAAGTAGGAACAAGAGAAATGTATTTTCTGTGAAATGTGTCCACCCTATAATCACATTCTCCATCAGTATGCAGGAAAGCTGACCATTAGGGGAGAGTAACTGTACTTCCATAAGCTGCTTCAAAACAAGTTCTGTTAGAACTGATTGTACTGCTGGCTCTGCCAACCTCTGCACAAGGGCTGGTAGAGCCTGGCTGATTTTGTTTTCTGAAAGGGGATAAAGGTTTGAAAGAAACACCACTCTGAGCATGACATCATTTGACTGTGACCCTCAAGTCACCAGTCATGCTGAGATCCGGAGCTTGAGAAGCTCTGGCACAGGAGAATCCTCTGAGGAGTGTGCTGTGGGATGCACTCCTCCCTTTTTGGTACTCTGGGAGTTTCTTCTCTCCCTTATAAAGACAGAGAATTGAAATGAAAAGTAAATGATAAGCAGCTCCATCTTGAGACGTGGGGAAGCAATGTGCCCGTGAATTTGTGAAACCCTCACATTTCACAAGCAAGAACAGCGGAGAACTACCTGCCAGCCCACCTGCCAGTCAGCAGTTTTTTGTTGAGCCCCTGCGATGCCTGGCCCTGTCTCGGGCAGAGGGAGAAAGCAGGTTTTACTTTGCAGAGTTCACATCACCCCCAAGTGACTTTTATCAGCCTAGGGCCGTTTAAATAGCCGTATTTACTGGTCCTTTTCAGCTTTTTCAGTATCATGTGGACAAAACATCTGGAAGCCTGAATTTTTCACCAGTCATTAGCATTGGGTACCTGGGTATAAGTATTCACATATGGTTAAAATACTACCAACCACGAAAAGTAATTTAATCTCAAAATGCTGACATGCCTTCAGGGTTAAATGTAAGTAATACGTAGTAAGAGTATTTGGTAAATAGGAGGGTGTCTACAAAAGCTTAATTGTTGCAATTGCTCTTCCTACAAGATTCAAAAGAGCAAAAGAAAAAGCTCTGCTTTCTTTAAACCATTTGAAAGATCATCAGTTGGGGTGTTCTTTTAATTAAAATAAAATTCACCAAATTCAGTTTACTGGGTTTTGTTTTTTTTTTTTTTCCAGAAATAAGTTCTCAGATGATGAAATCATAATTTCATCCCAAAAGAGATATAACTTAGAATAGTAGATTCAGTCTGCAACAGTAACAAAAAATAAATTAAAACATTTTTTGAAAAGGTTTTTGGCTTACTGTGCCCTAATTAAAAACCCACCGAAACTGTTTGAGAAGTTTTAACATGCTCTTACACAGTATGCATTTGCACCGATTTCCAGGCCCACTGCTGTGCTTTTCACTATTTTCATTTATGTGTCATGTTTCTATAAAAACAGAGAGGTCAGTTACAGCAAATCACATCAAAGGAAAGGTAACTGGATAGATTCAGATATTTCTGCCTAATTTGGAGAACACACATAATGTATGACTGGAATGCCTCCTAGGACCTGTCTAAGAGATGTACTCCGCACTAATCTTTTTGCTGTATTCTGACAGATATTTCTTCATAATCCTCATTATAAGCCTCTGATCTTTGATGAGTGGTTTAACCCTAAACTTCTGGCTGGATAAATCCTGTGGTGTAAAAATTTAACTCATGACATGCAGCCAGTGTGTACTTTTTTTTTCCTTTTCATTTCCTTTGGTGGTGGCTTTGGGTATTGTTTTACTGGCTTTTGGTGGGGAGGAGAGAGGTGTATATATTTCCTTTAGAACTTTTTTAGCTCTATTGCCGTTCCTACTTTATTGATTTATAAATGAGATAGTAGTTGGCGGCCTGTGGATTTTAGATTTTAGGCAATTACTTGTATTTATATAATACATGCTTAAGTATACACATATATAGTAAAAAGTGCTGCTGCTCAGTTTTTTACCAAACTGAGAAAGCTGTAAGAGCAAGCATTTCTCATGAACACAACACAAATTCTAATTCTATTAATAGGATTAACACTAAGTGTGTGGTTTTGTCCAAGCTGGCCAAGCAGGTTTAAGAAACTACCACTGGTATTTGTGTTTTAAATTATCATTAAACTATACAGGTATAATCATATCAAATTTACCTTGAAAATCACTTTAATAAATTAAGATTTCTCTGGTTGCGAGCTATCCTTTAATTAACCAGCACTTCTGAGTAACTCAATCTACCATGCTAAATAGCAAAGCTTTTACTGGCCTCACCCACAGTACACGCACGCACGCACGCACGCACGCACGCACGCACGCACGCACGCACGCACGCACGCACGCACCCTGTGCCTCAGCCAATCTGGCCTGCCCATTTCCAGGTGGTCCAAGTTGGAAGAATCAATTATCCAGAGAGAATTTAAATGCCAGCATTTAGTAAGACCAGATTTTCCACACCTAAGGATTCTCCAGCCAGTGGCCAGATTTCAAATGAGTCATGTCCTCAGCATTTGAACGATGCGCCCCGCTCTTTCTTGAGTTACTGTGTTGTTTTACCGTATCAAATTTTGCCCCATCTGTTCCTGCCTGTCTCCCCCTGTTCTTGATAACTTTTCTTCTCTCCCAACTTCCCATGGCTCCAGCCAGATCACTTTTTGCTAAAGTTTGTCTGGCACTTAAAACAGGTTGTGAGATTATACAAAACGAGAAAGCAAAACAGAATGAGAATATTTAGTTCTAGGACAATAATGGAACCTGACATCAGATGTCAGAACTCAGTTTAAACTCAGACAAGTAAAAGTGTGCTTTATTTGAGGGCTGGTCAGAGACCTAAAGTAATAGCATCCTACATTGCCTAAACCTCACATTCAACAGGTTGCTTTTAGCTAGTCAGAAATAGGCAGAACAGATTTAGATACAAATTTGTTCCAAATCCAATCATCAGATGTTTAGATGATAATAGGGTAATAGAATCATTCTCATTTCTACAATGCTCTCTGTATCTTCAGTAAAATGCATATGTATTTGAGCTAGAGCCCCAGTTAAATCTTTGTATAGGCAAGGGGCTGAAACATTTGCGATTATCATAATATTATGAATATTTTACCTGGGAATTGTTCAATAGCACACATAAAGTCACTGAAGGAAGGGTTAAACCTCAAACTCCAGCTTTCCAATCTGTAAAGTCATTGTTAATACCTTGCTGTATCACTTGGCATCGGCAGCCTTCCATTTTCATGTTGATTTAAGACTATCTTTAGTGTTCCAAAGTGAGTTCACAGGCAAAGAGTGGATGAGATCCAAAGAAAACTTGGATTTTGATGATTTTTCTTTTTTTCTTTAAAACCATATTTTTTTTAAAAAATCACTGTATTTTTCACATTGATATTGAAACATCTTTGACAGTAATTGAAACCTTGGGGTATTAAAATCACTCTTATGTATCCCTTCACTTCAGAATATTCACATGTAG